AGTAGCTGGGACTACAGGCGCCCGCCACAACGCCCAGCTATTTTTTGTTGCAGTTGTCATTGTTGTTTAGCTGTCCTGGGCTGGGTTCAAACCTGCCACCCTCAGTGTATGTGGCTGGCATGGTAAACACTGTGCTACAGGCACTGAGCCTTGCATTTTGCTTTCTAATGGTTCTTTGCCATTCATTAGAATTTTTTTAGTAATACAAGATTTTCCAAAATACATATAGTGCTAATGGCACAACCAGAAAGGAATGCAAGAGTGTTTACTTAACAATTATACAATGAGAGACTGAAGAGACAGACATTTGTCCTACCAGTATTATGTAGACAGGTTTCTTGATAACCACAAATCTATCCTTGGATAAGAAATACATAGAAAGGGCTGGGCTCACTGGCTCATACCTATAATCTCAGCACTCTGGGAGGCGAAGGCAGGAGGATCACTTGAGGTCAGAAGTTTAAGGCTAGCCTGAGCAAGAGTGAGACACCATCTCTACTAAAGATAGAAAAAATTAGCCAGGCCTTGCGGCATTAGCCTGTAGCGCCAGTTACTCAGGAGGCTGAAGCAGGAGGATCACCTGACCTCAGGAATTGGAGGTTGCAATGAGTTATGATGACATCACTGTACTCTACCCAGGATATCTCAAAAAAGAGAGAGAGAATTGGTTAAATTACATAGAGAAAAAAATGTGATCTAGACCAAAAATATACAAAATCTCTTTGATTATACAATTGCCAGGTTGATTTTCTATTCATTCATTTTATAATCCAATAGATATACCTCTTAGAAATGAAAAGTCCTAAATAAATGATTAGTCCTGATTTCTTCCTAGAAAGTATTCTCACTAGAAATTAACCAATTGACATTCTATTTGTAAACCTGTTTTCTTTACCTCTGATTAGCAAGAAGTAATTTCCAGGAGTTAGATCACTCTGCTCAATTAAAATTTCAGACCTAAGGCTTACTTACAAAGATATTCTCTAAAGCTACAATTATAACTTTCCCTTTCTAATCGATATCAAAATAACAGTTTTTTTCCACTGTACTAAAAAATGCCAAAAAAAATTAAAAATAAAACATTCATAATCCCACACCAGAAATAAATACAATAAATAACTGGGCATACATATTTCTTAAACTTTCCGTTACAGTCTTTATAAAAATGGCATGATAGTACACATATAATTTTGGAGCTTCCTTTCTTTTTTCCTTTTTGACATATCAGGATCTGTCCTTGTAACTAAACATTCACCCACAATGTTAAATTAATGAATTAAAAGCATCCTCTTGTATAAATATAACATGGATTCCAATCCTAGACCTGTTTTATAGAAAAGGTGAATCTCACAAAAGTCAAGTCAAACCATAGGGCAAGACCTACGAACTATAACTTTGGCCTTCTGATTACTAATGGAATATTCTATCCAAGGACTGAAATATGCCCAGCACTTTCTGACAAAAACAGCCATTAGATGAATAAAGTCTGATATACATACCTAACCACATCCGAATGATGCTCATATAGTCTTTGTTCTTGGCTGAGAGAAGTTTGTCATAGGAAGGGCAGCCGGCTAAAAGGATGCGGTCGTGGTCCTCACACATGGATATCAGGTGTTGCTCTGCACTTCGGGTGCAGCACACGTGATAATGAGCCAGTTTTGTTATGGCATGTCTGATAGAGTCGTCAATGGTCCCACTGACTTCCCCACCTTCAATATGAAGGATTCGGATGTTCATTAAGGCAGCAGATGTAGCCAAAGCGAGGGCATCAAATCTGTCTCCATGAACAATCATGATATCAGGCTTCAGGCGATTAAGGACATCTGGTAGCTTCACTAGGGCCAGGCCTACTGACTCCACCATGGCTGCCTCATCTTCCCCTCTAACGATAGTGTGCAGCCTGGTGTTGATATCAAAGTCATCCTGTTCAATCATGCGGTATGTATTCCTAAAGCAGGAAAGAAATAAAGATGTCAGAACATGTTCTTAAACACAGGGCAGGGCCATAATAGACAAGAAAAGCAATCTAACACCAAACCTGAAGGGAAAAACATTCTTAAAAATTTATTTGTTGGCTTGGTGCCCGTAGCACAGTGGTTATGGTGCCAGCCACGTGCACCAAGGGTGGTGGGTTGGACCTGGCTAGGGCCAGCTAAACAACAATGACAACTACAACAACAACAACAACAAAATAGCTGGGCATTGTAGCAGGTGCCTGTAGTCCCAGCTACTTGGGAGGCTGAGGCAAGAGAATCACTTAAGCCCAGGAGTTTGAGGTTGCTGTGAACTGCAATGGCACAGCACTCTACCAAGGGTGACACAATGAGACTGTCTCAAAAAAAAAAAAAAATTTGCTAAAATAACATAAAGTGAATTATAACTTACACACAAAAATAAAGATTATAAACTATAAGTATGTATATATGTATAATATATATAAACACAAATAGTCTGATTAATTTTTTATTAATTTTACATAGCTACTGCCTAGACCAAGAAACATATCTAGTACCTTGGAATGATCACTTATACCCTCTCCTAGTCAGTACCTAGAAGGAAAAACATATGAAGGATAATGTTTTTATTAGGAAGAAAGAGACCAAACTTTTAACAGTGGTCAAGATTTTTTCTTTCTTCTTTAATATCAATTTTTTTTTTTTTT